CACAAGTTATGAACTAATAAAAAACCCTCTTTAGGTTACATGCACATATGGGGTTGTCCAATTGAAATTAAACTTTACAATCTACAAGAGAAATCTCTAGATTTAAGGACAATTAGTGGATACTTCATTGACTATCTAGAGCAGTCGAGAGGATATAGATTATATTGTCCTACACATACCACAAGAGTTGTTAAAATGGATAGAATTATCTTTTTAGTGTACGTATGTGTCAATGGGAGTATCCTTAGGGATTTCATTTTTGAGGAGTCTCATGAAAATATTATTATATCTCAACAAGTTTTTAGTGAAGTTCATGATATGTTTCTTATTCAGGAGACTGAGGTTTATTTGTTATATGTTGTTCCAACCTTGGACAACAATGAAAAGATAAATACACCTACTTAAGAGCAACCATATGATCAATCATCTTAGCTTACTGTAGATCATCTATTCAAGATCTACATTAAGATTAAGAAGCAAATTTAAGAAGATCAAACATATAAAGAAAATCAGCTATTTCATCTTACTATGTGGTATATCTCTCAAGTGAAGCCATAGGTCAAGAGATAAGTGATCTCATTATATTTTCACAGGCTATGAATTATGTGAACTCTGATCCATGGTTACAAATATGAAGAAAGAGTTTGTGTCCATGGATTGCAATCAAGTATGGTACATCGTGAACTTGCCTATGAGAAAGAAACATATTGGTTACAAATGTGTTTATAAAACTAAATAGTTAGACATAAAGGTATTCAATCTTGATAGTACAATTAAATGATATAAAACTAGACATGTAGCAAAGGGTTTCACACAGAAAGAAGATATTGACTATTATGAGACTTATGCCTCTATTTCCTTTAAAGATTCATTGAAGATAATCATGACCTTAATAACTCATTTTGATTTCAAGCTATATTTAATGGATGTGAAAATAGATTTTCTAAATGACAAACTAAAGGAAGGAGTGTACATATAGTAGCCTTAAAGAACATATGATTTGTAATTGAATAAATCTATTTATGGACTCAAGCAAACTTCTAACAAGTAGTATTTTAAATTCAATGAAGTTATCACATCCTTGGGGTTTAACTAGGAAGGAGCTCTTTAGATATCAATATATATACTTGAAGAAAAGTGAGAGTGAATGGATATTACTTGTGATGTATGTAGATGAGATTCTACTTCTTAGTTCAAACTTTAGTTTATTAAAGGAGACTAAAGAATTTCTATCAATCAACTTTAATATGAAAGACATGGGTGAAGTCAATTACGTAATGGCATAGAGATTCACTAGAATAGGTCTTTAGACATGCTTGATCTATCTCAAAGGTCATTCATATCTAATGTATTGAATGATTTTCAATGAAAAATTACTCTCTTAGTAAAGCACCTATTGTTAAATGTGATAAACTAAGGAAATTACAAGGACCTCTCTCTAATGCTGAGAGGCTTGTAATGAAGAAAAAAACATATGTTGTTCTAGTTAAGTCTCAATTATGCACAAACATGTACTTGTCGAAATCTATCATTTGTCACTAGATATTTCGAAAGATATCAAAGTGACTATAGCTTGATCAACTGGCAAGTCGCAAAGAAGGTTATATGATATTGACATGACTTAGTCATTGTATAGTAAATCATATAAATTTAAAATTTATAAAACTAAAAAAATATATTTTTTTAGATATTTAGAAGTATTTATAAACAAATATATCAATTATAATTTAATAAAACTTCTAAAATTAGTAGTAATTTTTCAGTCGATCATAAGGACCTAATATAATATTAGGTAATTATTTACAAGAATATTATTTTTTATAATTTTTATATTAAGAAATAAAAAATAAATATATTTAAAAATTATAAAAAAAGAAAATAAGGGTGTGGATGTTAGGATGATGTCAGCACCTGACAAATGTGAATCGGGTAAAAATAGAGTTCCATCTGGTGATTCTTACGTAAGTGATTACAAATGATTTAATTGATCAAATTAAGATATGTAAAAACTAAAAGAATCTTAATTGAATAAAATATATCTTAGTAAATTTAAATTATATAAATTATCACTAAATGAAGGAAAAATTCAGTTCAAAGTAGGAAAATAAAGTTCCGACATTGCAGTGGTGATGCGTCGGTGATGCATCAGAATCCTGAATGTTCAAGAGGATCGTCGTGTAGTGTTCATGGCCTCGAAGACTTTCTTTAGACAAAGACGATGTGGACAATCTTGAGATCTCCTTGCAAAGTCTAGAGATCAATGAAATAGGTCATTGAATTATTTATGACGACTATCATTCAGTGGAGTGGAAAAATGGTGACTTTGCGACTCTTTGACGGCTATCACCTGACGAAGAAGAGCTGAAAAGCGGTTGGGCGCATGTCAGGAAGTTTTATCCTCATGTTTGTACAATAAAAAGAAGCTCTTCATCGCATCCGATATGTTCTCAAGAGGTGGTGACTCGTCTCCCGTTAAATCATCCTCTTTCCGACGACGACTTGTTCGTTGATTAATCAGAAATGTCTTACTCCATAGATTCATGATCCTTTTATTGTGAATCATTCAATAATTTTAGTAATAATATTCCACAAATCACGTTGATGAGATTTTCGCCGATGATTCAACGATTCTAGTAGCTTAATCCTTCACTAGCAATCTACAAGAAAGTCATGATAATCAAATAAAAATATGAGTTTTGGCTCTGAGAAGATTTGAATTTGCATCGGTTACCCGGCATGCATGAGAGAGATTCATATAAGAATACCCTTATCAAATGATGTCATCATGGTATATCTTTATTATAAATAAAATATATTTTAGGTATTAAAATCATCGAACCCTTCTAGGGAAGGTGTGATGTGGGTTTAGTCTCACATCGCTTGTGCGCTAAGGTTTTGGACGAATATATAGTAATATTATATTTACAAAGAAGTCCTTTTCTCGTGCGTGTACGACCACTCTTTGCCCTAGAGCCGACTGACCACTAATGATGTGGAAAGGAAATGGTGCACATATACCCCTATCAGTCCTAGCCGCTCAAGCCCCTACTCGTAGCTCCTCCCTAACTACGCTTCCGCCCTGCTTGTAAGCCTAGTTGACCAGCCGGTCCTCCTCATTTTATTATATTTATATTTATATTTCTTTTTCTTTATTTATCTCAAAAGTAAGATTATAAAAATGATATAAATTTATATAAAATCACATAATTACTCAAAAATTCACATTAATCAATTGAAAACTATTTTCATATTTTAACACAAATATAAATCTATTTATCATGAGTTAAGACTAAAACTATATTATTTACTAATTATTAACTCATGATAATTTTTTTAGACTTATCAAATATCTTTAAGGAACCAAAAATCTAATGCTCACATATAGGCGAATGAATCAACTAGAGGTCATTGGATAGTTTGACTCAAACTTTACTAGATGTTTAGGCACACAAAACTTAACTTCGAGCTATGTGTTCTTAGTTGTTGGGGGAGCTATCTCATGGTATAATATTAAATAGAAGACAATTACAACATCCACAATTAAAGTTGAGTATATAGCTTACTTTTCGACGTCTTTGCAAGCTATATGGATGAAGCATTTCATCACACAATTAAGAGTTGTGGACTCTATACATAAACCCATAAGGATATACTGTGATAATGAAGTTGTTGTCAAATTCTCTAATAACAACAAGAGCTCAAGTGCTTATTTGTGAAAGAGAGAATCAAAGAATCAGAGATTGATTAGTGTCAGTTGATCATATTAAGATTGACTATATACTAGTTGATCCTCTACGAAGGTGCTTCCACCAGGTATCTATAGAGGACATGTTTGTAAAATGGGGTTGGTCAATTCCCTAGAAGATGTGATTATATGTAAACACTAATGTAAAATGTGATATCACGCATCTAATCTCTAAATATTAGTTCAGGATGAACTATCATTGAATAAATGAAAATGACATATATTTATCTCATCATGACATAATAACTGCATTCATAAAAATTCTTTAAATATCACATAAAGTATTTAGTTTTAATATTGATCTTGAGTATCTTAATACATAGAAAGGACATACATCTTTAACGTTATATTATTGCCATGACTAGTGCTTTTGAAAGATACTATGATCAAAATGAGAATATTATTTATAAGCATTAAGGTTGTGGTTGCTCCACATGATTATCTAATATAAAGAAAGACTAGATAAAGTCAAGTGGGAGATTGTTGAAGTCAAACTCCGACGTAGCAGCTGGACACCGTTTCGGAGTCGGCTGAGAGCCTACGAAGAAGTGAGCCGTCGTGTCAAGCTCCTCCCATTTTTATCGCCGTAGTGTCAGTAGGAGCTTCCGCAAGTGACGTAAGACTGCCCGGCGTTAACTGAGAAACGGTCGGGGCCGGTCTCGGGTGCCTAAAGCGGCGGTTCGGTCGATTTACCCCGTGACAGTGGGGAATTGGGAGCTTCGCTGGATGTCGTCGCGGTTAGTTGCCATCTTCAATCCGGCCACGTAGAGGACGATCCATCGTCTGCGGTATCTACCACTGCCAAATGCATCCGAGTCGTGGGGGTCAGACTATATCCGTCTTCAATCCGGCCTCGTGGAGGACGATCCATCGCCTGTGGTATCTACCACACTGCCAAATGCATTCGAGTCATGGGGGTCAGACTATACCCGTCTTCAATCCGGCCTCGTGCAGAACGATCCATCGTCGGCGGTGTCTACCACGCCGCCAAATGCATTCAAGTCGTGGGATCAGACTATAGCTGCTTGAATCCGGGAGAAATAAGACATACTCTTGAACAGACATAATGCGGTCACGTAGGTTTCCGGAGGGTGGGGGAATTGTAACGTTCAAATATGCGGTTGGTTGGGAACGGTGTTAGCTTGGGAGGGTGTTAGTTGAGAGGGCTTCACAACCTCCGATCGCTTCTCCACTCGCCAGATAACACCTCTCCAGCTGAGCTCGGCGGATCATATTGGGCATTCACACCGCCGCCATGGCGGAGCCGCTGAGGGTGCTCTTCATCCCCTTCTTCGTTCCCAGCCACATCAATCCCATGACGGACCTCGCTTGCGCCTTCGCTTCCCGAGGGGTGGACGTGACGGTGGCCGTGACCCCCGCCAACGGGGCACTCATCCGGCGGACCGTCGAGCAGGCAGCGAGCGCCGGACACCGTATCCGCATCTTGCACTACCCCTTCCCCGCCGCAGAGGTGGGGCTCGCAGAGGGCATCGAAAACCTCGCCACAGTACACCCGAGCGAAGAGGGGAAGATCTACAAGGCCGTGGACCTCGTCCAGGGAACACACGAGCGCCTGCTGCGGGAACAGCTTCCCGATGCCGTCGTTGCCGATATCCCGTTCCATAATCTGACTTACGCCGCCAAGAAACTGGGGATCCCACGGCTGACTTTTTATCCGGTGGGCGCGTTTTCGGTGGTGGTGATGGGCAGGCTCGAGGAGCACAAGCCCCACGCCGGCCTCGCCAAGGGGGACAACACCCCGTTTCTCGTGCCCGACATCCCCGACAATCTGGAGATCGTTCAGTCAGAGCTGCCTAACTTCCTCAGGATCCACGACCATCACGCCGAGAACTCGGATCAGATAAGAAAGTCGTCGCGAGAGTGCTTCGGCGTGATATTAAACAGCTTCTACGACCTGGAGCCGGCCTACTGCGACGAGCTCGTGGGGAGAGACGCCCGACGAGGGTTCTTCCTCGGCCCTTATCCACTGTGGTCCGAGAAGGACGACGTAGAGAAGGCAAAGGTGGAAGACGATGGAAAGTGCTTGGCGTGGCTTGACACGCAAGAGTCGCGATCGGTGGTGTTTGTAGGCTTCGGGAGCTTCAAGTGCTTCAGCAAGGAGCAGCACTGGGAAATGGCGCGGGGGCTGGAGGCCTCGGGACGCCCGTTCCTGTGGGCGCTCAAAGAGAAGAACTTGCCCGGCGACACCGCCGCCTGGCTGCCTGAGGGGTTCGAGGATAGGATCCGGGGAAAGGGCCTTGTCGTCAGGGGGTGGGTACCTCAGGTGGGGATCCTGAACCACCCGGCGACGGGGGCCTTCGTTACCCACCTGGGATGGAGCTCCCTGATGGAGGGCTTGATCGCCGGTGTGCCCATGATCACCTGGCCCCTGGCCTACGATCAGTTCCTCAGCGAGAGGCTGGTGCTCAACGTTCTCCGCGTAGGCGTGAGGATGTGGGACGGGTACAGGAGCAGCCTGCCGGAGGAGGCGGCCGACGCAGTGGTCAACGCAGAAGCCATTTCCCGAGTGGTGTCGCGGTTCCTCCCGCCGGGCTCCGCCGACGAGGAGTTGGAGGCAGTGAGGAAGCGGGCCGCCGAGTACCGCCCCAGGACCCGGACGGCGGTGAAGGAGGGCGGTGCGGCCTACAACGATCTCACCCGACTCATCGACAGCCTCAAGGCCTTCAGTCCAGAAGCCGAGTGGGGCGATTCCGCTGCCATCTCCACCCCCTATCTGGGTTTCTTGACTGCTTCTCCTGCGTAGCTTCCTCCACGTGGTTTCGTTCCTTCATGTTTTAGGCCGTTCGTCATCTAATACCCATCCTCCCACGGTTGTCCCATGGCAGAAGCACCCCCGACCCGCCTCGCCACGCCCCTCCCTGCTGCGATTACTGTGACTGTGGAAACTCCGCTTGCTGTCTTCTGTCACGAATAAGGATGAAATATTATTCCGATGACACATCGTCCACAAACTGGAAAAGAAGAAGGAAAGTAGGAAGACGAAGGTAACCTATTATTTTCAATCATATAGAAAATACAATGAGAATGATGACTAATAACGCGTGCAGAACATCCGGGATGCTCCTGCAGGTTGGTGAAAGGCCAAATACTATGAGATTGATGACTGAGTTTTGCCCATCTGGCGGCAAGAAATATGTCCATCACATGAACATCGTGTTGAAATAGATCCCAAATATGGCTACTTCGTCGTTTTCTTCTCCTCGGACGCCTTGCTCTGATCCTGTCTCCGCTTTTCGTGCTAGTTTCAATTTCCCGAAATCTCTCTTCTGATTCAAAATCGTGGCGTAACGTGTCTCCCACCGTTCTGGTCATAGAATGGATGAAATAAATCCAAGAATGGATTTCTGTTCAAGAATGAAATCTTACTGGAACTGTCCGTACCCGGTTCTGCATTTAAACGGCTGATTTATGTGACATGATCCAGCCCTTGATGACCAACTCAAATAGTGGAAATTTTCGGTAAGCAGCCAGAAGAGGCGCAGTTTTACGTGGAAACTCTTGTTAACATGGAAGTAGTAGCTACTTATAGAATTCTAGATTGTAAAAATGTGAAATGACTAGTTTAGGCGTGGCTTGTTAGCCACGAGTCATGAATAACAAGAAAGAATGACCGGCATTAAATGACTAGTGCAAGTGTGGTCAACTGAGGACCGTGGGTTGTGATGTAGGCGGTACATATGACAATCTCAACCAAAGAGAAAGACTGGGTGAGAAAGAAGGGGAGAGAAAGTGACACACAGAGAGGAAGAGGTCGGGAGGGGGAGACAGATGAAGACAGTACTGATAGGCTTGTGCGGGATGCTTTGACTTGTAGCCTAGGCTTATCAAAATCGGTGGTATCATGACCGTTCCGTCGGTTTGATGACTTCATTTCTCTTCTAGTTACCCAACCTTGCTTCTACCAAGAGAAGAGGCCTACCAAGCCTCATCATTTTCATCCGCATTTTAGAGAGAAAGAGAAGGCGAGATATATACAGAGAAAGAGAGGGAGAGGAAATGAGGGGAGATAGATACAGAGAGGTAAAGAGAGAGGGAGAGAGAGGGAGAGAGAGAGAAAGAGAGGGGGAGATAGCTAAAGAGAGGGAGAGGGACAAATAGAGTGGGAGATAGATACGGAGGGGGAGAGGGAGAGGGAGAGAGAGTGAGAGGGAGGGAGATAGACACAGACGTAAAAACAGAGATCAAGGGAGAAAGAGGGGGAAAGAGATGTATATATCTATAGAGAGAGATAGAGAGGGAGATAGCTACAGAGAGAGACAGAGAGAGAGAGAGAGAGAGAGAGAGAGAGAGAGAGAGAGAGAGGGAGGGAGATAGATACAGAGAGGTAAAAACAGAGATAAACGGAGAAAGAGGGGGAAAGAGATATATAGATATATCTATAGAGAGATAGATACAGAGAGGGGAAGAGAGAGAGAGAGAGAGAGAGAGGGGGGAGGATAAAGAGAGGGAGAGGGAGAAGGAGAAAGAGACAGATATAGACAGACAAACAGACAGAGAAGGACAGACAGAGAAACCTTAATGTGTTTCCTTGATGAATGAAGCATGCACTGCTGCACGCCACATGTCAGTTTCTGGGGTCATTTTCCTTGACTAGATTGGAGCTAGGGGTCATTTTACTTTAACCTTGGGTAACAATTACTTTGCTGAAGACCTCAGTGGGCTAATAGGATTCTGATGGCAAATATTCTAGATACACTGAGAAAAAAATTTGAAAAGCCAGCTTATGGTGAAAGCAATTTAACTAAGCAATGTTCACATAATAATTTCTAATTATTCAATGCAAAGTAACTTCAAACAACTCACAAAATGCTCTCTTTAGGATGAGACCTTAGTAGCTCATTGCTTGGTCTTCTCAAAGTAGATGCCAAGACACTAGCTTGACTTTTGTCTGGTTACGAGTGCTACTTATGTTTTTGATGTAGATAATTAAGAGAAATGAATATTTGGCTGAAGGTCTAAGTCACTTAATCTGTTGAATTTACTATTAATTTTTTTTAAAGGACAAAAATACAATTGTCATAGAATTGTGTTATTGAGCATAAAATGAAATTATTATAGCAAGAAAATTTGAGAGAGGGAAAGTGTGTTGGCCTACAAAGTTGTGTTGACCCAATGAGAATTGAGAGAGAAGGTGAGTTGAATAATGCACTGACCTAGAAAGATTCAAACCAAATCTCAAGAGAGAGAAAAGACCCTCCTCAAGGAACTCTAACATATCAAAACGTCAAAAGATCTTAATCCTGAAAGAAGATATCTAACAATGGTATCATATCATAACATGTCAAAATAACAATGAGAATTTAAGAAACTTTTCTGTAGCATGTGTGCAGCATGATTGAAAGCTGATTATATCAACGACCAGCTTATATTGACTATTTAGCAAGTCAACCAAAACATTTTTCTAGTTGATCATTGGCAGAATACATCTAAGAGAGTAAAACCAATGGTCATGTTTTTGGTTTCTATATATAGCCTATTACAGCTGGTTTAAAAGACTATCCCAAGAATATATAAAATCACTACACATCGTCTCAAATTACTCTTCATAGTTTTACTATAAGAGCAAATTTACTAAAGCTTATTCAAGAGCTCAACTACTAAGAAAATAAAGAAAGCTAGTTAATTCATTATCAAGATTGAATAATAACTTCTTAAACATTGTTTCTATGTCAAGGAAATTTATGGAGTGTTGTTAACATGGAAAGAAAGCCAATCTATTGACTTTCATCTAGTGTGAGGAGATGGATATGTGATGTGACTTAGTCGTTGTATATTAAATCACACAAATATAAAATTTATAAAACTAGAAAATATAAATTTTCAGATATTTGGAAGTATTTCTAAATAAATATATCAATTATAATTTAATAAAAATTCTAAAAATAGAGGTAATTTTCCAAGTCGATCACAGGAATTTAATATAATATTTAGTAATTATTCAGAATTTTTCTCAATGAATACGATTTTCAATGAATTTTATACTAGGAAATAAAAAGAAAATATATTTAAAATTCATGAAAAAGGAAAAAAGGGTGCGGACGTCAAGATGATGTCAACACTTGGCGATTCTTATGTAAGCGATTACAGATGATTTAATTGATCAAATTAAGATCTGTAAAAACCAGAAGAATCGTAATAGAACAAAGTATATTTTGGTAAATTAAAAACACACAAATTATCACTAAATGAAGTGTAAAGTAAATTGAAAGCAGGAAAACAGAGTTCCAACATCGCGACGGCGATGCATCAGTGATGTACCAAAATCCTGAGCATTCGGGAGGATCGTCATGTAGTGTCCACAGCCTCGAAGGCTTTCCTTAGACAAAGACGACGTGGGCAATCTCTAGATCTTCTCGCGAAGTCTAGAGATCAATGAAGTGGGTCGTCGAATCATCTTCGGCGGCTGTCACCTAGCGGAGCAGAAAAACGGTGACTTTGCGGCTCTCCGGCAGTTGTCACCCGATGGAGAGAAGTTGGATGGAGGTGAGGTGCGTGTCAAGGAGCTTCATCCTCAGGTCTGCGCAACAAGAAGAGGCTCTTCATCACATTTGGTACGCTCTCAGGAGGTGGCGACTCGTCTCCCGATGGATCATCCTCTTCTCGACGATGGCTTGTTCGTCGATCAATCAGAGATGATTTACTTGATGGATTCGCGATCCTTTTATCGCGAATCGTTCAGCAGTTTTTAGTATCAATGCTCCGCGAATCACGTTGATGAGATTTTCGGCAATGATCTAGCGATTCTCGTTACTTAATCTTTCACCGACGATCTACAGGAAAGTCATGATAATCAAATAAAAATATATGAATTTTGATTCTAGGAGGATTCAAACCCGTGCCGGTCGCCTGCCTCTTCTGAGGAAGGTGTACGCGGGTTTAGTCCCACATCGATTGTGGGCTGATTTTTCAGGCGAATATATAGTAATGTTAACTTTGTAAGCAAAGTCTCTTCTCTTGCATATACGACCACTCCTTGCCCCACAACCGACTGGCCACTAGTGATATGGAAGGGGAGTGGCGTACACATGCCCTATCGATCCAAGCCAAGCTGCTCGAGCCCCTGCTTGTAGCTACTCCCCGATTGCGCTTCCGACCTGCTTGCAGGCCCAACTGGCTAGTGGGTCCCCTATTTCGCAATATTTTTATTTGTACTTCTTGTTCTTCATTTATCTCAAAAGTAAGATTATAAAAATCGTATAAAATCACATAATTACCCAAAAATTTACGTTAATCAATTGAAAAACACAAATCATTTTTTAACACAAATATAAGTCTATTTATCATGAGTTAAGGCTAAAACTATATTATTTACTAATTATTAACTCATGATAATGAAGACTTATCAATATGTCAAGTCTATTGTGTATGGGACTTGTTAATCATGTGAGTTTTAGTTGTATTCCTTTGATTTTATATTATTTTCGTAATTTTTTATATTTTATTATAAAAAAGTTGATGAATGCATAAATAGTTTTTCAAATGTTTATTATTGTACTTTCCAAATATTTCATAACATCAAAAAGGAGTTCATTGTTGGTATAATTATTTTCAATTGAAAAAAATTGAGATAAAAAATATAATCATAGATATCATATTCTTGACTAACATAGATGAATAACTATATAGTTAAACTAGTATATTTTTCATTTAATTATGTTTTTATAACAATACTATAGTAAAAATAATGACCAAGAAAGAGATATGATAAAAGCTAAGAAAAAAAAAATTACAAGATGAAAGGGTTTTGACTTTGAGGGGGTTTATTAGGTTAGAAAATCTCAACTTAACATCTTGGGAAAGGGAACTTGTCAAAATTCAGTCACATATAAACTACTTAGTAATGGATATAAGGATTGATTTAGACAATTTTTGACATATGTACTTTTAATTTTAGAAGTCATTTTTTGGGCTTAATGAAAAAGTCCCATCCCTAGATATTTTGACGACAACCTATTGACACAAATTTATTACATATGTACTCAAATTTTATCATTCATTTTCTATATGCACAAACTTACTAAAAAATTTCTGAAGCATTCGAATGTGTACAAAACATAAGAGCTCATTGTAGACGCCCTCCGTGTTGCACACAACAGGTTTTGACACATACAGTGAATAACTACTTATGAATTATTCTTGAATAAGTTGAAGTATAACTTATTTATATATATCATGAGATAATTATTATTAAAAAATATTCAAATTACATATATTGTTGATATTTTTTACAATACTATAGTACATCATTCATAATAATTATATAATATTTTAATTTCTAAATTTATTAATTAAGGTTTTAGTTGTGACATCATTAGAAATTAAGAAATAGTCAACCTTAACTTGCATTTTCTTATTATTATCATGCAATCCACTAATGTTAATCTTGTTCAATTTTAATTCTTATACATGTAAAACATTTTAACTATGAAATGATATAACATTTTAAAATATTTATACAATTTATGATTGTTTCACTTTTGTTGTCTCAAAAATTTACTTCACTTTAATTTACAAGGTTATCCACCAAAAGTAGACTTGAAAATAATTTAAGTTTATTAAGAGAAAGCATCCTCTCCTTTTGTAATGGAAAAGTGCAAAACATAAGGGATAGAGAGTGAAAAAGAAACACAGCCCAAATTTATGTAGGTTAGGGGACACTCCTACAATCATGGATGCAAGAACTTGTTTTTCTTTCTTATTGAGAATATCATCTCACATTAAACAAGGAAGCATCTAACCTTTTATGTAATGGGATTGCATAGTCTCATTAAGAAAAAGTTGTAGTATTACCCATAATATCAAATTTTCTATGTTCATTGTAAGTTTAGGCTTCATCATTCTCTACATATTTTGTACAAAGTTTTGATTTGGGAACTCAAATTTCTTTTGGATGAATTACTTTACTTAAATTTTCATATATAGATTCAGGTTTTCTTAGAAACATTAAATATCTTAATTGTTGGATTTAATGTGGTTAGGCAGAATATCAGTTTCTTATGTTTTATATTCTATTATGTTGTTATGTTCTTGTGTGTATATTTTAACATATATTTTGACACAATTTCTCTATTTTAATTATAGATTTTCTTAAATTTGTCTTCTTTTTTATATAGTTTCATTTTAGTTTTTCTCTCTCACTCATCACCATGAGAGACATGAGTTTTGTACTAGATCACCCTTTAGGGGTGATAAGTCTTCATTATCATGAGTTAATAATTAGTAAATAATATAGTTTTAGCCTTAACTCATGATAAATAGACTTATATTTATGTTAAAGTGTGAAAATTGGTTTTCAATTGATTAACGTGATTTTTTTGATAATTATGTGATTTTATATAATTTTTATAATCTTACTTTTGAGATAAATGAAGAACAAGAAATAAAAATAAAAATATTACAAAATGGGGGGACCCATTAGCCATCCGGGCCCGCAAGCAAGTCGGAAGCGCAGTCGGGGAGTAGCTGCAAGCAAGGGCTCGAGCGGCTTGAACCGATGGGGGCACATGTGTGCCACTCCCCTTCCACGTCACCGATGGCCAGCCGACTGTGGGACAAGGAGTGGTCGTACACACGCGAGAAAGAGACTTTGCTTAGAAATGTAATATTACTATATATTCGTCCAAACATTTGGCGCACAACCGATGTAAGACTAAACCCATCACCTCCCTCATAAGAGGTGGGGCAACCGACGTAGGTTTGAATCCTTCTAGAGCAAAAACTCATATTTTTATCTGATTATTGCGACTTTCCTATAGATCGTCAGTGAAAGATTAAGCAACTAGAATCGCTGGATCATCGACGAAAATCTCATCAACACGATTTGCAGAGCATTGTTACTAAAATTAATGAATGATTCACAATAAAAGGATCACGAATCCATCGAGTAAATCATTTATGATTGATCAACGAACAAGTTGTCGTCGGAAAAATAATGATCTGCCAGGAGATGAGTCGCCACCTTCTAAGAGCATACCAGATGCGATGAAAAGCCTCATCTTGTTGTGTAGACCTAAGGATGAAGCTCCTTAACACACTTTTCACCTCCATCTAGTTCCTTTCCGTCAGGTGACAACCGCCGGAGAGTCATAAGTCACTATTTTTCTACTCCGTTGGGTGACAGTTGTTGGAGACGACTCGACGACCCATTTCATTAATCTCTAGACTTCGTGAGAAGATCTAGAGATTGCCCACGTCATCTTTGTTCAAGGAGAGCCTTCGAGGCCGTGGACACTACACGACGATCCTCCTGAGCGCTCATGATTCTGGTGCATCGCCGATGTATTGTCATTGTGATGCCAGAACTCTGTTTTCCTGCTTTCAACTTACTTTATACTTCATTTAGTGTTAATCTTTGTGATTTTAATTTACGAAAATATACTTTATTCTATTATAATTTTTTCGGCTGTTACAGATCTTAATTTGATTAATTAAATCATCTATAATCACTTACATAAGAATCGCTGGGTGGAACTCTACTTCCGCCCGATTCGCGTTCGCCAAGCGTTGACATCATCATGACGTACGCACCCTTATTTTCCTTTTTTGTGAATTTTAAATATATTTCCTTTTTATTTCCTAATATAAAATTCATAGAAAATCGTAGTCATTGAGAATAATTTTGAAAATTACCAAATATTATATTACATCCCTGTGATCGACCTAGAAAATTACCGCTATTTTTGGAAGTTTTATGGAATTAAATTTGATATATTTATTCATAAATACTTCTAAATATCTAAAAATTCATATTTTCTAGTTTTATAAATTTTAGATTTACGTGATTTAATATACAACGACTGAGTCACGTCAAGGGGCTATAGCCAATTTCAGAGGATCCATCCTACTTGAGTTCATTATTTCTTTCTAAAAATATAACTAATTTTATGAGATTAGTAGCCTAAACGTTCATGTCAAATCTCCATAGATACCACACCCATCACAGGGTAGAGTGTGACCCTCAACACCACATAGCTAAGTCAAGTACACTAGTCTCATCATAGAATACATTTTTCACAAGCATTAATAAGCTCTTGATACTCAGTGCCTTAACATAAGCCTTTCTGTACTCATCACTCAGGTTATCTTAAAGTATGATGAATAGAGTTAATCTTAGTAACAATAGGTGACTTTATTCATCACTATAAAATAGGTTATATGATGAAGCTTTCAACTGTTTCTTTGAAGCATGAGGTAACTTTACTTGACAGATGGAATATGATCCACTTTTGAAATTGAATTAATAAAGTGGATGGATATCTTCATTCATGTTGGTTCTAATTCTTTGTGAGCTCATTTTATTTATCCTTCAACATGTCATTATCTCTTCAGCATTAGAGAAATTGTCACACAAATTCAAAATTCTTCTCATTTCTCTTCCATCATGTTAATGACTTTTAATGCTCTTCAATCTAAAGCTTTTCATTCTCTCATAGGTTGTCCTTGATTTTTATCTGAAGGTATGTAATAGATTGATGTACATTTTTACTTTTAAGATCTAAGTCAAACATAGTCATTGAGGTTGTCATTTAGTCCATGTATTAAATTGATGTATTATTGTCTAAAATTGATACCTTTGACCTTTAGTTGTTCTTTAGTTCAAAACTTTCCATTCTCATGTAGATTTTCCTTGATATTTTGCTTAGAGATACATAATGAATCAATGGAGTTTTTTTTTTACTAATAGTAAAAGAAACTCTCCGCCCTTTCTACTAGTAGTGGTGAACATTAAGTAACTTTGTGCTGTAAGATGACAGGTTGGTAATGAAAGGCAATACACTAAGAAAGCGCAACTCTATTATATTTGTTTTCATGGTGCAGCTCAAATAGAGCTATTCAACATGTCATTCTATCTATGTATTATGTTAACATGTTATTGTCTAGTGTATGTGCTATTGACCTTCAACTGTCTCTTAATTTGAGACTTGTAGTTATCTCATAAATCATGTTCGAAGCTTTGATCTAGAGATGCAATATTCATCAATGGTTGTTTCTACTTTTGAGGGTAAAATGAATTAATTCCATCTATGTATTGTGCCAAGATATTACTATTCAAGCTATGTGACAAAGGCTTCTCTACTTCAATGAGAGTTTTATGAGAATGTTTCATTTTAGTCATTGTGTAGATCTTGAGTTCAATTCATTCCTTAGACACTAACCATTTGACATTACTTCATATTTTCTTGATCAACTTTCTAGCATGTCAATGTCTCAATTTTCAATCCCATCAATACCTTTGTCCTTCATGAGATTCAAATATTTCAGCTGTCATAAATTTATTTTTTTCTAGCTTATGTCCTAGGTTTGAATCTAACATTTGACCTTATGTAATTTGATATTTCATTTTTTTTTCTTGAAGATTCTATCTTCATATTGCTTTGGTCCTGAATTCGAATCTTTCATGTGACTTTATATTTCTGAATTGTATGTAAGAATTTTGTCACACATGTTGGCATTTGTTCATCTATAATTATGTTCAAGTAATATAATGCTAGATTATGTTCAACATGAAAAATAATTTAAGGATCTAACTCTTTAAATTTATTATTAGTCATAAGATTGTTTCAAACACCATCAATATATATTTTGAATGATAGTATACTTACAATGTAAGCATAAATGCAATCAATTTAAAAAATTTTAAAATTCAATAACAATTTGTAATTTATCTTTAAAGAAAATTTTCATTAGAAGTATTAAAACTAAGGGAATCAACATTAATTACATCCAAGTCTTTTTTTTCTTACTGTTAACTTTTGCCTTGATAAGAGAGATAATTTGTTTTGAGTTCCAACAATTTGATAAAAGATTATTTTCAACTAGAAACCCTAGTTTCACGTATGAACTTTTCAAAATTTTCTTTTCATAAATAATTGTGTTCAACACTTTTTTTAATTTCAAGTTATGTATCTCATCTTTCAACTCCACTAAGGTTTTTTTACATTTCTAACCTTAAATTTGGAGATTTTTTTTGGAATCATTAATTAATTACTCACATTTACTTAATTGAGACAAGTGAAGAATATGTTGATTCCCTTGGTTCTAGTATTACAAGTGAAAAAATTATTTATATAAATTCATTGAATATCTATGGTTATCTATGCATTTTCACTAATGTTTCTCAATATTCAATCTGATTATCATAGTTATTGCATGAACTATGTTTGATGACCCTATGATTTTATCACTAAAATTGAATTCAAGGTCTTAATCCTTGATATTTAATGATTCTTCATGTTAGGAATATATGATCAATAAGGATTACTAGTTGAAAAATTATTCTCCAATGAAATGAATGGTTAAATGGGTACAAGAAAATCATACAAATGATCTTATCTTTGATTAAATATTGTTGTAACAATGAAATGAGATATCTAGAATTTCAAAAGAGTGATAAAAAAGTTTCGTATAATTTCTCAAGTATAATCATTAAAGAGTTAGAAAACAAAAGAGATATTCAATCTTTAAATACATAATTTCAATATTGACACATCAGCTCCTTGTGTGGACAAAAATTCAATGAAAACTTGATAATTTAGTTCCAATCTATATCTAACTACTCTTCATCAAGTTAGGAAACACTTGTTCAAATTTTAATGAAAATAGACAAAGGGAATAAGGAGATTCCAAGGTTGGAAGGTTCAAAGGTTACTACCATGTATTTAGGAAAATAATATATGAACAAAGATTTTGAATGTTGGAGATCTTGTAAAATTGAGAAATTATCAAAAGGATGAAGGCTTACTTATAAAATGAAACTTAAGGATGAAACATCAATTGATCACATGATGACTCCTGCTATCCTTCAAGCTATTCTAACCACAAGCATCATTGCTGCACAAGAATTGTATAATCTTCTCTAGCTAATTTTGTCAAAGCAACCAACTCTATATTCATGATTGTTTCTCTCCATCAGGCCCTAAGGTAATTGGGTGGTGAGAAAATAGTGGTTTAGGTGAAGGCACAAGGTGTTGAGAAGTGGTGAGTTTCTAAGATGATGAACTTGAGTTGTTAAGGGGCTGAGCCCATGAATGTAAGCTTGTATTTCTTGAGGAAAATAATTAATAATATAAAGAAGTTTCTCTAGAACTGAACGTAGCTAGTTAAAGAGTGAACCAATATAAAAATCAATATTCTACTAGTAAGAGAGAGTTGAAAGACCTTATTGAGCAACACACATGTCCAAATGTATATAGTTATAGGCTAAAATGAAATATCACCATAAATCCTATGAATTATAATTATGCCCCCCTCTTAGTGTTTTACCTAGCTCTATAGTTCTATCATAATGTACCTTAGAAAATTATGATATTTAATAGAGATTAATTTGTTCTTTCCCAGAGGTTGAATCCCCCTTGCATTAGGTTGCAATCATTGATATTCTTCTCAACAATGGTTCTCTCTTCTTCAATCTTGGGCTATTGACTAAAAAATGTTTTGGTTTCTTACATTCACAGCATAGTCCAACACTTGTTGAAATGGAAATAGCAAAAAACAATTTTTTACTCACTACTCTCCTAGTTTCGTGAATCTATTTCTTTTTCTTCAGATGTCCTTCATCTTCTTCATGTTGGACCGAAATGATCCCCTTTGAAATCCCCACCACCTCACCATGTACGGCATAATTCAGTTGTTGCTCTTCAACGTTGATAATTGATATTTTATGTCCTCGCTAGAAATGTATTTGACTCATTTCCTTTTACATATTTTATTTCCCGATTATTTTTTATCTAGTATGGCAGGGGCTTGTACGATTTTTAGGTAATTTCATCTTTGAATCTCATGAGGTCTGATCAATCATCCTTGCCATTATCATACCTCAACTTGAGTGATCCAATATTTGTTTAGGTAAAAATTCTCTTAGTAATTATCGAAACTGGTTTCACATGCTTTTTGTTGAATCTACCAAAAAAAACAAGTCGTTTTATGTTCTCAAATTTACAAGTCTATATCAATGTGAAACATGCGGATGCCCTCTATATGAAAAGTTTGGAGGTCAGCTAGCACAATTACAGGTAGTATCAAAGCTTTACAGTCGACGGCTGTCGTATTCTGGTAAGATGATGTTCTTGCCGTCCAGTTCTTGCTCCAGATTTGTGATGCCCTCCAGTCAACGGTCTCGGAAAGTAAAAGCTCCTCCGTGTCTTCTTGTATAAAGAATAATTTTGTTCTACTTACCTGCACTGCCGCGACCTCAGGCTACCGACTGAAGTTATTCTCCCCAGCAGAGCTTTCAACCTCCTCCCACCCGGCCCTGGTTTCATAACTCCGACGTTCTTCCTCCAATCATCGCCGAAGCAAGCGCCTCCTCCACTGCCGGCGCACCAGCCGCCGTAGGCGAAGCTCTCTGAGCTCCTCTTGAGGATCTCCCTGTCGATCCTACCCAGAACCGGGTCGTCTTTCCTGAACTTCCTCGCGAATGGAGCGCTGCTGATGATCATCCGCCGGAAGTCCTTCATCCCCAGCATCTGCGGATGCTGCTTCGGCGGGTTGTCCCAGGTGATGTAGTGGAGGTCGTGGTTCACCGTGCTGTTCCTGAACTGCATGGAGTTGCAGGCCACGGTCTGGAAGTAACCCTCCGGCGAGGAGATGAAGTTGGTGTAGTACAGTAGGAGGGTCCTCGGCAGGTTGTCCCAACCTATTATGCAGTATTCTGCGAAGGCCCTCGACACCACCGTCCAAGCAGAGCCTGCAGATGCAAGGGTTCGGCCCAAATCAGGCTTCTTGTTCGAGTGGATAGATCTATATGGGCATCAACAGGAAGAGAGAGGAAATGCGGCCGTGACCTGTGAAGAGCTTGAACGCTGTTGGCTGGCTCCTCTGCTTTGGCAGCCATATGATCTCCGATTTGTTCCGGCTGTAGAGGCCAGGGTCCATGATGATTGGTTTACCCCTCTTATTCCTGCTAAATCCGTAATTTGAGTATTTATTTCTTCCAGAAAAACGAGGAATAGATATCGTATCGCTAGAGGTCAATCTCCTACCGCTTCCAACCCAGCTGGCTGCTGTGTTGTATGAAGTTGAGACCTCTCGGCAATTCGGAGAAAGCGTAGATCAGATCTGAAAAGGGGAGTCAAAAAGGAGCTCGATTCCCAACTATTACCGTCTTCTTCCTAGCCCAATCTTCTACTTGGCCTTACCGTCTTGCGTGATCAGAGGGTAGTCTGCGGCACTCAGATTCACAAACCACTCCCACTCGCAGGCCTTGAGGAGCATCGCCATGGCGTGGAGGGTGTTCGCCAGCATCGTGGGGCCTCTGTAGGTGACCAGGTTCGACTTCTGGACGATCCAGATGTTGCCCACTTCTCGGAAGACGGGGTGAACGGAGACGAAGGTGACCAGTTCCGCGTGTTCGGCTTCCGACGCCTCCGAATCGAGATGGAGGAGGTAGTGATTCCCCGGATGGTACAGCGCGCCGAGCATTCTCTTCACTTGGTCGACATCGCCCTTGGAGAGCGATATGAGGTAGGCGAAGCTGACTGGGTACGGCCTTTCCTTGGCCGGGCGCAGAACGGTGGAGGGGGGGGATCTGGCTGTGAGCGAGGGGATGACCAATAGGAGATATACGAGAACCGAAACGGCTATGGAGAAGACGGCGAGCTTCTTGATGCCCATTCTTTCTTCTGGCTGCGTGAAGATAGATGCGCCGGATGCCCATGATCTCATCAATTCTTCTCAGTCCGCCCTCTGGAAGATGAGATTTTTATTTTTTTTCACTGGGTTGTCGACGTAAAAGAGATAGGATTAAATGGAAGGCTAGATGGAGAGGCGGCGACCTCAAGCTCGACGGGGCCAAGGATACTCCGTCGAATAGCGATCCCTGTTGCTTACTGTTCTCTTCCTCTCGCGGGGGAAAATTGACTCGTGAACCACCTCGCCCTTTCCAACTTCGAGATCCATGTGGAGGCGACTTTGTCCGAATGATGGACCCCCTTTCACGTGAAGCGAAATTTAGAAAAAGCTAGTCTCTTCCGTGAAAATTCAACTGAAAGCTTCCTGATTAGATCCAACCCCGAGTGGTCCTTGGACTGGCCCTCTGGGCCCCTATTCTAATGGAGATCTCAAAGATTCCTGCCAAGATTAATGCAGCCAAAAATTGAGAACTGACTTCTCCCTTGCGACAGCACCTCCATTAGAAACTTCAAAAATTACACCAGAGGAATATGTCATCTTTATACGGATGAAACTAATCCACGTGCCGTTCGAAGGGACTGGCAATATGATTGTTGGGTTATGACTCGAATCCGAAATTGGGCCCGACGAAGGGCCATTTATTGGGCGGCATACTGGCCCAACGAAGTGACAGGCGCAGGGAGCGGAAGACAGCGCCGTCGTCTTCACTTTATAATATGTTGAGGGGTATATCTTTATGTCCCCTATAAATTGAGGAGGATTCCGGCCTTTGGGAGCAAGTTGGCCTTCATGTCCTCAGTGTATTCCTGCCTGGAGGATAATAGATTCACCTTTAGAGCTAAAGAGAACTTTCGCGTCGAGAAGGCTGCTTGGTGCCACTGAGGCCCACTAAGGCTGGCGCAAGGTTAGGGAAGCAAGGTACGCTCGGCATTACCTTGTGTCAAATTGGTATTAGCGGTAAGAGGATTCGAGGGTGATGGGAGAAGGTGTTATGCAATGGCACAGGATCGCTCGCCTGGGAGAGGATCGCTCAGACTGCTACCAAGCTGTGGAGGGACGGCTGGAAGATGTGCATGCGGCTGAGAGCAAGGCAGTCGCCCTCACCGGTGGTTCGTGGGCAGCGGATACGGATGCCGAAGAGCTGTACGAGGCATTGGATGGGGAATATAAGTACTTGTAATCCACCACTTAATGGTTTATGGAGTATTTAAAAAACTTTTATTAGTTTTTCTTCAGCCGTTGGTTTCGTGAGACCCTCAGTGAGTGGCCGACAACCAGAATGGGAGGCCCAAACCTCCCTTCACCTTGCTCTTCATCCCCTTTATGTAACCTCACTATTTATCATCTTTGTCATGCAAGGGGATTATGGTGAGGGCAAAAACATCACGGTTTTGAGTTGCGCGAATGCCTTCCATGCTGCTTGCGTTAAGAGATGATTGATGCAAATGAATGTGTTCCCTATTAATAAGTATTCATTATCTTCAGTTAATAATTAATTAATAAAATATTTTAAACCTTAATTTATGATAAATAGTCTTATATTTATATTAAATTATGAAAAAGTAATTTTTAGTTAGTTAATGTGAAATTTTGGCTAATTATGTGATTTTATGTGAATTTATACAATTTTTATAATTATATTTGTGAGATAAATAAATAAAAATAGTATAAAATAATAGGGGACTCGTCGGTCAATGAAGCACAAGTGGGACAGAAACATAAGTGGAGTCATGAGTAAGGAGCTCAAGTGGCTAAAGATTGGCATGAGGCATGTGTGCATCATTCTCTTTCCAAATCGCTAGTAGTCAATCAAGTATTGGGGCAAGAAGTGGTCGTACACATGTTAGAGGATAATATTGACTATAGAAAGACATATTATGATATATTTATCTCAAGTCAAATGATTCTAGATAAAAAGATCACGAATTTGTCAAGTTTATCATTTTTGAAGAAAAGTTTTTGAGGCGTTAAATATCGCACAACAATCCTCTTAAATTCACAGAATTCTAGAGATTGCTATTGCAAAATTGAAACTTTGTATTTTCTACTTTAAACTTAATCTTCTCTTAATTTATTGAGATTTTATATAATTTTTAGTTTTGAAAACCTTCTTCATTTAATTATAATTCTTCCAACTTTTGTAGATCTAATTTGATCAATTAAATCTTATGTAATTATTTACATAAGAATCATCAGGTAAAATTATATTTTCACTTGAATCACATTTGTTGAGGTGTTGATGTCATCTTGACATATGCACCTAATTTTTTTATAAAATTTTAAATATATTTTATCTTTATCATTTAGTCTAAAAATCATAAAACATCATATTCTTTGAGAAAAGTCCTAACATATATTATCTTACATGCCTATAATTGACTTAGAAATTTTTATTATTTTTAGAAAAAAAAAATTAAATTATAATTAATTTTTAAAAATATAAATATTAGTATTTTTAATTTTATAAATCTTAAATTTACATGATTTATTATACAATGATTAGGTTACATCTTTTATTACTTCACAAGTCATTATTATAAAGTTTCATTTGCTCATGTTAAGACATTAATGAATCAACATTTTCGTAAAGTTCAAGTTTACTCATTTTTTCAATCTCAACAATTGAACTATCCAATCATTAATTCATCTACATTTATTACTAGCCAAGTTATCACCACTAGATTCTAGATCTTAAGCTTAATTAAGATCACTCAAACTTATTGTGCATAGCTCATATTGTGTGTAGATGACTTTCCCATAATAAAGTAATGCTTGTCTTAATCTCACATGTGGAAGCTCTATGGGACAAGAAGGAAAATTTCTCTTTTATTTACATTTGGGCTTCACTTTGCACAACCTTTTTTTTTTGAATAGCAAGTAGCTTTTCTCCAAGTATTTATTAAATGTTTGAATGTAGATTTTCATACTTTGGAGGGTCACACTTTGTTAGTTTCTATATGAGCATAAGTGTTGGATGATCTTCCTTTAACTCATGATCTAGATCATGAGATACTCTTGACTATTGAATAGTGTGAACTAACACTATAACAATTATAGAAGTATTTTGAAATAAAAAAATAATTAAATATACTTACTACAAACTCATGTTCATGAATATCTAAACACTACTCAGCATGATACTCTTTTTAAGACTCATTCTATAAAAATAAGTTTGTGAAGATGGAGATCAACAATATAACAATTTAAATTATATTGATCACAATCTAACTATGAGCTATTTTGATTCAATTCTTTAGTAAGGCAGCAAAAAGAAAAAAATAAATTCGTATTATAAATATCGCAAGAGCATATTATAGTTTATACACCCCTCTCATCCCCCAACTTAATCTATGCATTGTCCCCAATGAATGAGAAGGAAAAGAAGTATTAGGAAAAGATGGTGTAAACTTAGTGTAGCAGAATCTGTGTGTGCTGCTGCTGTGCACTATATACATCCTCTTATTTTAATGATCGCATGATGAACCTCATCTATGTACTCCGAATATAACTAAAAACAACTAAAAAAAATTAAAAGAGAAGAAGCCACTAAGTAAAAGGTGGTGTGACTGAAAATTTAAAAATTTTTAAATCAATTGATCACAATGTTGTCAACAAGAGGTTGGAGATGGTGGCAGATCCCAAAATTGAAGAGAGCTGATGGAAGGTTACTACTTGTGCCTCATGTACATTTTGAATTTGTGCCCATTAACCTTCAGGCACTGAATTGTCTACAGATTTTTTATTAATACTACTCCACAATCAAACAATTAAATAACAATGAAGGGTTCATCCCATCTTGATTAAGTTTTCCAAGAAATAATTTCAAGCACGAGTTATAGAGCCAAAATCTTTTAATTTTTAACTGTGTTTATAGTTCAAATGACGATTATGAAAAGCCTTAAGTTTAACTTTATAAATTAAAGAATTTTTGTAAGCCTCATTTTGCAATTCTTCTTGTTCCTAAATTTGTAGGATGCAGTTCTTTCTTGCATCATCTAATGATAAATTGAGATTTTTGATAGCCCAATAAGCTTGATGCTTAATTTGAACAAGTAAATGACGAGCTTTATCAAAAATCATTAAAATATATAATAAGTTTACTACTTAAAAAATAAGAATAAAATTTATTTAATGAAAAAATAATATCTAATAACTCTTTTTCTATAGTAGTGTAATTTACTTGAGTCGACCAATGTCTTACTTGCATAATAAATTGTCACTAACTTTTGTCAATTTGTTGACCTAGTACCACTCACTACAGAATCTAAGACATCACACATTAGTTCATAAAGAAAATCTAGTTAGGTGATTACAAACTTAGAGCATCTATAAGTGCCCTCTTAATATGTAGGAAAGCTTATTGACTTGCAGCATCTATTTCAAAATTAACATCGTTAAAAAGTAAGTTAGTTAAAGGTTTTAAAACTTTGGCAAAAGATTCAATTAAGTGTATATAAGAACTAGCATGACTCAAAATCTCTAAGTTGTCTAATAGAATTGGAGAGAGAGAAGTTTTGGATCACTTCTATCTTAGCCATGTTCACCTCTAATTTATGGTTGTTGACTACATGGCCCAACACCACTTTCTCTTGTACTATAAAATGAGATTTTTCTTAACTCAGCACTAAGTTATTATCCATACACAGTTGCAATACGTTCATTTAGTTATACATCACTCAAATAATTGACCAAAAATTAAGAAATCATCCATAAATTTTTTAAATACTTAACAACTCAGTTTGAAAACATAACAAAAATACATTATTGAAATGTATTTTTACATGTGTCAAAAGCTACTTGATTGCAACCAGCTAATTTTTCTAAAATTTGATCTATGAAAGGTAGGGGAAAATAAGATTTTTTTATTACAAAATTTAACTTTCTATAAACTATGCAAATTCTCCAAGTAGAAGGCTTTCTCTTTTTCTTCTTTCAGGTACAAAAGTTTAAATCTCAAGTACTACATGGATAGGGCTTACCATGGGCTATTTGAGATGACATATATGATCTTTTCATCTAACTATTTTATAATC